GGAATTATACATCTAAGTTACATCCCTACACACCGACAAGTTGTTGATGTCTTCACTAAAGCCCTTCCTTTGAGCATCTTCTCGGAGTTTATTACTAAGCTTGGCCTCTACAATATCTACAACCCAGCTTGAGCAGGAGTGTAGAAATCTGAAAAGATCTTATTTCTCTCTCTCTTCAACATGTGGCCAGCGACTAGATTCCAAAATAGGGAATATTTGATTGGGGTTAACTTCGGAAACTCAGTTTTCATCCCAAAACCTATTTTCAACAAGTTAAGACCTGCTAGATTCTAACACATTCTTCTTGCAAAATTTCACCTGCTTTCTACGAAAGGTTTTAAATGGTACAAAAAGACATATAAAAAAATCTCCAAAGCTTAATGTGATAGTACCTGGATGTAGTTTTCATAACACCACTGCGTTGAAAAGTCTGTTTCTTTCCAGGAATTGTAAACCTGAAATACCAAGGCTAGTGAGAACCTACTTTAATTGCAGAAGACAGGGAAACAAAAAATAATGAAGCATGTTGACATATAAATATAAATTTGAACGACCGAATGTTACATTAAGCAAAGCAATATGGTCCCCAACATTGCCAGTATGAAAATTCAGCCTAGCATTGTCTGCATGAACTTGTTTATCCTTCGGACGATAGAAAATCGAATTCCCAATCGACAACATTGCAGCAATTGATATGATCTCATCAGAGCACTTATATTTATCTGAAGCAACAATCATTTTCGAAAGCATCGGATCGAGCGGAAATTCCGCCATCATCCTCCCAATTTTTGTTAACTCTCCACGGCTATTCAATGCATTAAGTGCATAAAGTTGTTCAAGGGCCTTAAGCATTGCCTCTGAAGGAGGAGGATCCATAAAATCAAAATTTACCAAATCATGAATGCCCAAGCTCTTGAGAGAAAGCACAACATTTGCAAGATTGCTCCTCTGTATCTCAGGAACTGCGTTTTCATCAAGATCATTTTCATAATTATAAGCGGTGTACAAGCGAAAGCATTTTCCAGGTCCAGTACGCCCAGACCTTCCAGCTCTTTGCATTGCAGAGGCTTTTGAGATTGGATTTATAAGCAATGATTCCATACCAGTTCGTGGATTATATGATTTTATCTTGCAGAATCCCGGATCAACAACATATTTTATCCCATCAATGGTTAGGGATGTTTCAGCTATGTTAGTTGCCAGTACAACCTTACGAGCGCCTTCTGGTGTAGGTTCAAAGATCTTTGCCTGAAGCTCCGTTGGAAGATTAGCGAAGATTGGACATATTATAAGTTCTGCAATTTTTGTTCCAAAACCACTTATTCGATGCTTCAGAATCTCATCAATGGTTTCAATTTCTTCCTGTCCAGTAAGAAATACGAGAATATCGCCAGGAGGCTGTGTCACATGTATCTGAAGAACAGCGACAATGGCGGCATCAATGTAATCTGCTTCAGGGGCCGTTGTGTAATGGATATCAACAGGATATCGCCTCCCTGGAATTTTGAAAATAGGAGCTGAATCAAAAAAATCACTGAACTTCTCCGCATCAAGTGTTGCACTTGAGATTAGTAACTTAAGATCCTTCCGAAAGCGTGCAATATCCTGAAAAACACAATTAAAATTAAATATATATA